CATGCCTTCAGAAAATATATTATTCTTGTTCTGATTTACTCTCTCTCAAATCTCTATCAAAGTAATTCAACAACTAGAAAAATGTCTTTGCTTCTAGGTAAGAAGTGCTAGAATTGGGTCAGATAAAGAGCATTGTCTAGGGAAATAGAATTGCAGTCTGGATCTTTCAAATCCAGATACACACCAGGTTAGTAACTACTTTAGACTGCTCATGGAAAAGCCAACATTACTGTGCAACTCTCATGTTGCACTTGTCAGGAGGAAAGAGGAAACTCACCATTTAGGCCTGAATGGCTTTTTTTTTTTTCTATTGCAAGCCAAGTTAATAAATGAAGAAGAATCCACATTCCCTATAGAGCTTTTTCAATCTCTTCATTTACAAATTGTGAATGGTAGTGCAAATGTAACAAGAGGAATTGTGGTATTGCCTTGTATTCAATTCTCAAATAAGTATTTCAAAAGAGACCAAAGAAAATTGACAACACAGGCATATCTCAGAGAGATTGCGAGTTCAGTTCCAGCCTATCACAATAAAGCAAATCGTACAGACTTTTTGATTTCCCAATGCATGTAAAAGTTATATTTGTGCTACACTGTAGTCTATTAAGGGTATAATGATAGTATGTCTAAAAAGGCAATATACATACCTTAATTTTAAAATAGTCGTTTGCTTAAAATATGCTAACAGTCTTCTGAGTTTTCAACCAGTCATAATCTTTTTGCTAGTGGAGGGTCTTGCCTTGATTTTAATGGTGGCTGACTGATCAGGATGGTGGTTCCTCCAGGTCTGACTGTGGCAGATCATACCTGTGGCTGTGGCAATTTCTCAAAATAAGACAACAGCAAAGTTTGCACAGTGATTGACTCTTTCACAAAAGATAGAACACAATGCTATTTGATAGCATTTTACTCATGGTAGACTTCCTTCAAAACTGGAGTCAATCCTCTCAAACTCTGCTGCTGCCTTATCAGCTAAGTTTAATGAAATATTCTAAATCTCGTATTGTCATTTCAACAGTGTTCATAGCCACTTCACCAGAAGTAGATTCTATCTCTAGAAACCACTTTCTCTGTTCATCCATAAGAAGCAAGTCCTCATCTGCTCTAAT